AAAAAGACAAATTAAAAAATTTACTTTTTCTTTTTAAAAAAATAATTATGATAAAAATTTTTATAAAAATTTATCAACTTTTTTAAGTATAATAAAGATATATTTTTAATTGTTTAAAACAAAATAATAGTTTCTATAAATATCAATTAAAAAAATTATCAAAATTTTCAAATATAAAGTTAATTTTTAAAAATTAAACTTTAATTTTTAAGCTTAATTAAAAATAAAAAAATAATTTATTTAAACCCCTACTATGATTAGTATTTTAATGAAATTAAATATCTTTTTAACATATTTGAGTTGTACCAATGAAAATAACTTAAATTTTGTGATTGAAACTGATAGAGGAATATGGGATGAGAGATATTTTTCTTATTTAATTTATAGAAGAGAATGTCTAAAAGACCTAAATTTTCTAATAGATTCAGCAATTAATTTAATTAAAGACATAAAGAAAGAAATTGATACTGTAGATTTAAATGTTTTTCAAAAAAATGACTTGCAAATATATGAGTTGCAACAAGAAAAAGAAAAACTAGATAAAACATTAAGAAGTGCATTTGATTGTATTATTAAAGTAAATGAAAAAATAAGATTTATAAATGAAAATTTCGAATTTTTAGATGATTCAGAGAAAGAGAAATTTAATATCTTAAAAAAAGAATTTATAAATTGCCAAAATAGAATAAACAGTTTAAATACATATTTAATTCGTTAAAAATAAACTAATAATTCTTTAATATAACAATTTGGTGTTTTTTATTTATTAAATAATAATTATTTACTATAAACTAATTTTTAAATCATTTGTAAAGTATAATTTAAAAATTTATAAGTTTATCTATAAAACAACTTAAGATATTAAAAATTGTTATTTATTAATATTTTTTACAAATGATATATTTTCATTAACTAAAATTTCAATACGTATTTTTCATAACAATTACCTTGAATATTGTTATTATTAAAAAAATATTATCCTCTAACTATTTTTATTATAATCAATAATAATATTATTTAAGAGTAAATAAAGTTTTAGATTTAAACTATAATTTACAACAAAGTAATTAATAATTTTAAATAGTTAATAATTTTAAACCCACTTTTCAAGTTTTTATTTATAATAAACAAATTGAATGTTATAAAAATTTTTAATAAATATTTATTCTCTGATTTTTTTATAAAAAATTTTAAACCCAAACATGTTAAACTTTCAATTATTAATTATAAAATTAATTCAGATTAATACTTATTTAATATTTACAGATGTAAATATTAAAAAAGAAAATCCAAAAGTTGTTAGAAATAATAATACTGTAAATAGTTTTAGTGTAAACTCTTATATTAACGAGCTTGTTTTAAGTAACCGAAAAAGTAAAATTGCATTTAAAATTATGAATATAACGGACATTAAAAACCCACTTAAATACATGAAAATAATGTTATGTAAATTAATTGATAATGTAAAATGTAAAAAGACTCAATTAGAGAAATTTAAACTTGTGAAAATTAAAATAGACTATTTAATTTTTGAAACAGAAAATAGTGATATTAATGTTATAAAAAAATATATTAATGTTATAGATGCTATAATTTATATTTTAGAACCCTTACAAAAAGACATTTTAAATGATAAAAATGATAAGATTAAAAATATTTTAAATGATTTTATTGATAATTTCAATAATTTGAATGAATATGTAAGATGTTATTTAATTGAATAAAAAAACTTTAATTTAAATTGAAGACTTAAAAAATTCAAATCTATCAAATTATTTAAGTGGAAATTTATGATAGATTTTTCATAATTAAGTTTAAAATTAAAAGTTTTTTATTTGAATATTTTAGAACCCTTAATTATGAACTATATTCTACTGTTAATTATAACATGTATTTATGCTAGTTGTATGGAAATAATGGTTATATCGAATGATGAAAACAATAGTTTTGAAAACAATGAACTTTATCATGATGGTAGTGAAGATGGCAGTGAAGATGGAAATATTTATTCTACTGAACTTGTTTTAGATGAAGAATCTACTGAATTTAATTTCGAAATCAACAGTTTAAAAGATATAAATAGACCTTTATACTTTTAAATAACACACTAGAAGAGCTTTTAAGTCATGTTCAAGATTTTAATATTCATGTAAATTTATTAGAAAATATAATTAATAGAACAAAAGATATGATTGGTAAAATATTTAATCTTACTAATAATAATGAGAATATAAAAAAATGTAGTGAAATTACAAGTAATATAATTTCTAATTTAGAAGTTATAAATAATGTATTTTATAAATATAAAGAGAATATAAAAAACGTGGTTGGAATAAATGCTATGATTGAAAATATAATTAAGGGTTTTAAGAATATAAAAGAAGAAATCGATAACTTAGGAACTAATGAAGATAATTAAATTTTAAGTAAAACTATTTTCCTTGAAAAATAACTAACATGTAATTAAAAAACCATTATTTTGTGATATAAAATATAAATATATAACATCAAATGGTTGTTTTATTTAACTTTCTAATTTTAAAATATAAGTATAAATTAAATAAAATTATTAACTGATATGTTGTAAACCTGGTTAGATTTAAAGGTAACTGAAAAACATTAAATAATAATTTATTTATAAATCAATTATTATTAAATTAAAAATTTATTAGAAAATAACAAAAGTAATTGAGTTTCACTAAACATAGTTTTATGAGGTTAAATAGGATTATACTAAGATATTTTTTACAGTTATTTTTAATTTTTTATTAAAATTAAAAATATGATTTAAAAGAACAAATAAAAAATTTAAAAGTTTAATAAAGTAAAAACACTCATTTATTATCAAATTCTTTTTAAAAGAGTATTTCATTTAATTTTTAAAGTGATATTAAAAAAATTTTTATTAATTAAAAATAAGCAATATTAAAATATTTTATTCAATGACATATTAATTTATAAAGTTATTTAAAATTTTATTATTAAATTATTTCTAGATTGATTATATAATTTAAGTAATAATAAAATATTAATTAAAAAATTTTAATAATTTTAATAAAAATGGATTTAGAAAGAGCTGACTCAAGAACAGAAAGTATGAGTGAAATTATTTTTGATTGTTTACAAGATGAAATAAAACAACCAGACACTTATAAGAGATTTGAGTATCTAGATAATATTAAAAGTAAGGGATATAAAAGTGAAACAAAATATCGAAAATATATCGAAAAAATTTGTTATCTATTCTGTATTCTAGGACCACTAGGTGTATTAGCGTATATTTTAATTGGAGTTTTTAGTAAAATTCATCAATCAATTTTATACTTTCCTAATCAAAATGTGACAGTGCAAAATTTCACAATTGTTTAATAAATTTATTATTAAAGATTTATTTGTGAATACACCTCTTTAATTTTCTTTTTAATATCAACTATATCTTCTACATATCTCATACAAAGTACAAATTGGACTGTCATTTTACAGATAATTGGATCTTCATATGATTCCATCTTTTTAATTGTGTTTTTAATCATTCTTAAGAATTTCATATCACATTTAAGATTTCCTTCACTTACCCTTTCTATTATTTCTTTAACAAGTGTTTTACAGTTAGTGAATTCTTTGCTACAATGGCCATAAATATCACCCACTTTATCTTCCTGTTCTTTAAGTATTTTTTTAAAGTAATCACACTCATTTTGTAAAAGTAGATTCTTCTTTCTAAATTCTGCTAATTCACTTTTTAATTCTGATTTTAATTCATTCAAATTTTTATTATCATCTGAATTATCTATAATTGGAATATTTGAATCAGTTTCTTTTATATTTTCTTCTGTTAATTTTTTCTCTAACATAAATATTTTCTTTTCTTCATTAATTTTATCTTTTTCTTCATTAATTTTATCTCTTTCTTCATTAATTTTAATTTCATATTCTTTAACTAACTTTTTAATATCTTCATCATGTTTTTCTGTTAAATTTGACATTTTTTCCTTCAAATGATTAATATTGTTTATACTTTCTTTATTATTACGATTTAATTTATCAATTCTTTCATCTTTATCACCAAGTTCTTCATCTTTTCTTTTAAGAAGCATCCTTAGTTCATTAACTTGTAAAGTAAGTTGTGTATTTTCATCTTCTAGTTTTGATTTTAATTTAAGTTCATTATCTTTCATACTTTTTGTTAAATTCGTTAATCTGCTATTTTCAATAAAACTTTGATCATACTTTTTTGATAATCCTTTACATTCTTCTTCCAGCTCTTGATAATCTCTCTTTTTCTTATCAATTATATCATTTAACTTTTTAATTTCAGCATCTTTGATTTGTATAATTTTATTAGTATTTTCATTTATCATTTTTTTTTGTTCTTCAATTACATTAAGGCATTCTTCGATCTTAGTTTCACTTTCCATATTTGATCTTTCTAATTTAATTTTATCACTACTCAATTTCTCAACAAACTTTCCCAATTTTTCAGTGATACTCTTAAGCTCAATTATTGTTGATCTTAAAGATTCATTTTCTTGACTTAATTGATCATTACTTACCTGATTCTTAATTTTAGATTCCAGTTCAATTATATGTTCTTTAAGTAAAACAAAATCATCTTTATATTTAGTGATAGTTTGATTACGAGTATCTAATTCATTATGTAATTCACCCAACAACTCATTCAAATCAATATTATCATTATTACAAGAATTATATTCCTCTATTAAATTAAAAACTTTTTTGTTATAATCAATAATCAAATCATATAATTCTTTTAAGTTATTTTTTAAATTCATACTGTCACACAATTCTATTAAATCATTATTCTGACAAGAGTCTTCAGTGATATCTCTTGTACTTTCATTTGGTGTAATTGTATTATTATTTGAAATTGACCCATCACTTTCTTCACTAAGATTATCAGTATTCAATCCAGTTTGTGCATATGAATCAATATCATCACAATAACTATCTTCTTCTAACTTACTAACCAAAGCCTCCATTTCTTTTACATTAAATGACTCATCATTATACTTATAATTCTTACTTTTAATAATACTTTCTACATCTGAAATTAAACTTTTTAATTTATCTAAATTTAATGGCGTCTTCATTAACAAAACATATCAATTTCTTTATTTCTTTGTGTTTCAAAAGATCAAAACAAACAAAAATATTTTGAATCAAAATTTTTATCCCAAAAATTTCAAATTTATGATTTCAAAAATAACGAAAAGAGATGATAATACATATTACATAATACTAAATTATAAAGTAATTGAATTAATTAACTATAAAATAAAGTCTATAAACAAAGTAAAATTAGATGAATTAAACGAAACTGAAGATAAATTAAATGAAATAAAAGTAAATGATAAAGTTTATTTTATAAAGAATAAGCACTTAACTGATAATAAAGGCTTTTTATATAAAATATCTAAGAAGTATTTTATTAAAAAATCTCAAATTTATTATTTAGTTGAGAATAGTACAATTAAGTGTTATGATTTGTTAACTAATACAGATAGTGTTATACTTAAAGATAAAAACATAAGTTTATTTAATGATAAGTGTTATGTTAAAAAGAATAAGATTATTTTTTATGATGGAAGTAAGTATATTGATTGGAGTGATAGAAAGATACTAGCATTACTTGATTATAAAAGTAATCTCATAACAGTTACAAATAGGAGTGTATCTTTAATATCAACATATTCAGATGAAAAAATGTTTTTATTTTCTATATTAGGAAAATACAAACATTCTCAGATTGTTGATAATATACTTTTTGTTATAACAAATTGTTTTATTTATACCTTCAATTTAGTTGATAATAACACTCTTAATACAATATTTATACTTAACATACATAGTTTAGGTTCTGAAGTTAAGTTAAATAAGCTAGTTAAAGATAAAGATTTTCTTGAATATCAAAATGAAAACAGAGACAGTTTAAATCAATTAGAGAATGTTTTAACTGAACATATTTTTATAAAGAATGATAATGAGAGTGAAATAGTAAATGTATTTACATATGAAAACATAATATTTTATTATTATAACAATTCATTATATTCTTATTATGTATTGCCATCTAAAAGTTCAATAGTATCTAAATTGATTGTAAAAAATGATAAGTTAATTAGAATTGTTAAATCAAAAATATTCGTTTATGATCTTTATTTAAATACTATAAAGAGTAATAAAACTTATAACTGTACTTCTACAAATTTGGAAAAATTAGAATATAAGTTTAGAGAAAATGAATTATTAATTTCCAAAGAAGGAAATGATTACAAAATCAACAACATAGGATTGTTAGAAAAAATAAACTAATTTATTAATTACCAAATACACCTTTAAAGACATTACTAAAAGCATTATATTGGTTGTTATCATTATCAGTAACAACATCAGTTTTTTCTAGAACATATTTACCAGAAATTAAACAAATTCTAAATAAGGCAATAGAATATGCAAATATCATAGAAATAGGCAAAGAAGTAAGAAATTCCAAATAAGAGTCAGAATGATCAGAGAACATAATAATAGATTGAACACACTTAATACAAATACACATTAACTTACTAGGTAAATCACCAGGAAACAGTAAAATTAAAATAGTAGAAATACTAATATCTAACAAACAACCAAGCAATGAATTAAACTTCTTATTATAAACAAATAAAATACTAATAAACCCAGAAGCAAACATTAAACCAATAAATAAGTATCTATTAACAAACACATCTAAAGCAATTTCTAAAAAACCAACCTTAGTAATAAACACAATAGTACCTAAAAACATACTAATAGAAAAACAATTAGGAAATATTAATTGGTTATATTCAGTATTACTAACTAACTGAATAACAGGAACAATAAAAAGTAAAGAATAAACAGCACCTGTTTTAACATAAATTTCCTTAGAAATATTACTGTTAAATTTAACAACCAAATCAATAAGAATATTAACTAAATTTAGTGGAGTTAAATTACTAATAAAATAAAGAACACAACTCCATATAATTAGTAAATGAGAGTATAAAAGAAGTAAAGCAAATTTTTTATATTGAGTATACCTGTAAGTATCATTCACTTTCATATAATTATTATAATATTGTTTAATATTATGATCTACCATTAAAGTATTGTCTTCTCTTTCCATTTGAATAATTTGAGGGTAAAATTAATTAATTAATATTTTTATTTACATCTCAATTTCATTTAAAATATAAACACATTCATTGATAGTATCAAGTGAAGTATCTTGTTTAATTTTAGGTTCATTAGAATTAATTCTATTACATTTATTCTTTAATAACTCTAAATTAAGCTTAATTAACTCTTGAAACAAATCAGTTGAAGAGTTGTAAATAGTTTCTAATGAATTGAAGTCATAGATGGTTATATAATCAAACACTTTCATAACATACTCATAATCACTAGGATCAATACATGATTGAATACAAGCATGATACTTAGAAAGTTGTTCAGTACCCAGGAAATACAATAAAGCTAGTGTTTTATAAAATATCATGTTTTTTGTTTCTTTAGTTTTTCCTCTTGTTTCATCCATGTAAAGTGAATGAAATACAACAAATCTATCAAAATCTTTATTTTCTAGTGCTTTATCCATCTTCTTTACAATGTCACTCTTCCCTGTCATTTGATTTATTTTTATTAAAAAAACATTTAAAAAAATTTTATTCTTCTTCTGTTTTCAAATCTTCAATTTCTAAATCTTTACTTGCCTTCTCACAGAATTTTCCATAAATCATACAAATGTTCTTAATAATATCATTTAACTTTTTATAATCGTTAAACTCTTTCATACTGTTTATTGCTTCACCAGCATTATCATTAAATATCTTCAAAAGTCTTTCTTTATCTTCCTCTTTAAAAAAATTCATTTGTTGTAATTCTTCAGCATCATATCGTGAATCATTTACAAGTCTTCTTTTTTTATCAACTTCTTTAGACTTTTCTTTGATTCTTAGTAATTCTTCATCTATTTTCATCAATTCGTCATTCATTCTAACTTTATCATTTGCAATCTTCTGGAAAGCAACTCCAAAATCATTACATACTTTTTGAGTTTCTTGATTTGTTATTGAGTGGGAAAGTCCCTTTCCAACAAATGAAATATCTGTGTAAATTTCATCTTTTTTAAGTGAAGCTACACTTGTAGTTTTTGAGATTTTGTTTGCCCAGTGTGAAATGTTTTTCATAACTGATCCTCCATACTCATAACTAGATAATGATGAAATAACATTTCTAAGTATAGGAACTTCATCTCTCAACTGTCTATAGTCTCTATTTAATTGCTCATATCCTTCTGGTAGTCTTGTATGAATATAATTCAACTTTTTTATTTTTCGCTCTATATATCTCTTTGTATCTTGAATCGTTTGCATTTTTAAGTTAAGGAGGTCATTTTGATTTTTATAAAAAAATTAGCCAATCAAAAAATTTTTATTTAATTGATCAAAACATTTTAAGGATGCATGATTCTTATGAAATTATAAATAAAACGTATGCTGATTCAAATATTTATGAGCTTAAAGATGCACTTAAGATATTGGAAAATTCAATAGATAAAAGCAATAAAAGAAATAAAGAGTTAATAAGTGGACATTTCTCTAAGTTTGTTCAATGTAGATTGACATTAGAAAAAATTTATAATGATATTTCTAGGGATAGTACGGAGAAAGCCTTATTAAAGAGTTTAAAAACTCACATTACTTTGTTACTGGATAAATATAGAGTTATTACAGAGAATATTTTTTATGATATTGATCAAGAAGCCTTAAATTCCAGAAAAGTATATTTTGAAAATGAATTTGCTGATATTTTTGATTTAAAAAGGAATCTTGGTGATGATTTAACTAACTTTGAGAACTTCGTTATGATTTACAGAAGAGCTATTAAATTATACAAAGATTATGAAAAATCTAATGTGCTAACTAAAAAAATTGAAGATGCTCAACCTGAAATTAAGAAATTCTTAGAAAATATCTATTCTTATATTCTTACTAATGAATTTAACTTTCATGAAAGTTGTTATTACTTTGATATTTATTTTGAAGTGAGTGGTGATAAGAGTGATAGGAAGGTTATGAATACTCTTTTAGTGATATTTAAAGAATCTACTTATTATGTTGATAATTCAGACATTGAAGAGTATATGAAATACTTAGATGATTGTTTATTTAGGTTTGTTAACTATGTAGATAATGATATTAAAAAAGAAGGTATTACTCATTATTTTAGTTGTGTTAGATCAGTTATTGATAATGTTACTACTGCTAAGGTATTGTTTAAGAGGTCACAAAGACTGAGAAACAGTCTTAAATTAGAAAGTGATGTTTTGGTTCATTATAACAGTTTGTTAAAAAATTCCAAATTTGGAGTTTTTATTGATCTTATACAAAGAGTTGATGATATTGTTAGTAAAGACTGTGATTTTATTTATTTTGAACCAGATGATATTCAGACTATTTCACATCTTAACAGTAAATTTGACCAAGTAAATGAAAAGTTTGAGGCTTTCTCTTCCATATTGACATCATCTGAGAATAGAGTTTGTCAAGAAAAGATACTTGAGTATATTAAAGATGAAATAAATAAGATTAAATTTGATGATAAGTTTGACTATCTTAATATCAAAATAAAAGGAATAAGAACCTGTTTTGGTAGTAGGAGTAGTAGATTAAATAAAGAATTAGATGAGTATATTAATTCTAAGAAAAACAAGATTATAGATGATACAGTTATAGAACTTAATGGAAAGATGAGCAATTTTAATGAAACAGATGATGAATGTGTTCAATTATTAATGAATATAACTAAATTACTAGATTTATCTTCATTTGAAACTATGAAAACGATTTTATTTAGATGTAAAGACAATATTGTTAAGTTTCCTGTTTTAGTATATTTTTTACATCAATTTATAAAATCATCTAAACCATCATTAGATAACCAACAAGACAAAATTGTCAATAGAATAAGAAAACAATTTAAATTCTTAATAAATCATTCTTTATAAACTCTTTTATTATAAAATATCAGGATCATCAACATTCATATCGCTATAATAAGAATTATAAGTTCTTATTTGATTTCTTAGCTTTTCAGTTTCACCTAAATCAGTATTTTTTATTTTGCCTAATTCATTATCTAAACTTTCAAATTTTCTTTTTAAATTGTCAGTCCTTGCTAGCATTTCTTTAAGTGTTGATGTTGTATGAAATGATCCTATTGAATCTTCTGATGGAACATCAAATGGATTATAATCTACTTCATTATTCAATTCATCATTTAATTGTTCGTTATATTTTTCAATCATTAAGTTTTTTTCATCTTTATTACTGTTACGTACTTTAGTATTTAATTCAACCATCTTTCTAATTAAATCTTCATTTACTTTCATGTTGTTCATTTTATCTTTCTCATAATCAAAATCTAGTTTCTGTTCATATAAATTTGAATTGTCACTCATTAAAGTTAATCCACCAGGCATTGCTTGATATTTTATTTCTTCTTCATAATTTCTTGATAAATTTATATCTCTCAAATCATTAAAATATATTTTAGGTTCTTTTATATTATTAAAATTAGTTTGTCTTTTAAATGTATTTGGATTGTAAGTTGAACGTTCATTATCTAATTTATACTTTCTCTTTAATTCATTTAAATCAAATTTGTTATTTAAATTAATGGTTGTATCTTTATCATTCTTTATCTTAAATTCTCTATTATTAATATTAAAATTAACTTTTTGATTATCATTTCTATTTTTATTATTTTTATATTGTTCATTTTGATAACTGATTTGATTTTCCAATTGAAGTATCTTATTTTTATATTCCTTATTAATTTTGATTAAATCATCAACTTTTTCATTTAAAGTTAAAGTATTGTCAGCTGGATTAACTTTGTATAATTTATCTTCTAATTTTTCTTTTAATAGATCATTCTCATCATTCAATTTATCACACATTGACTTTAATTTTGATATTTTCTTTTTATACTTCTTTTCTTTTTCTTCTGCTTCTTCAAAAAACTTAAAACCTTCCTTTGAGTATTCTTCACACTTGATCATCTTGTTTAACTGATAAGTTAAGTATGAATTTTGACTATTCAAATTTTTATACAAATTTTCATAGTAAGTACTTCCATTTTTATACTTTTCATTTTCAGACTGATATTTTTTATTTGATGATATAAGTTTACTCATCTCTTCATTACAAAGAGTTAAACTTTTTTCTTTAAACTCTAATTGTTGTGTTAGTTTTTCAACACTCCTTTCAAGTTCATCAATCTTTGTTTTTATAGTTAAATTCTTATTCACTTCAGATTTGTTTTCAGCACCCAACTTTCTAATCACTTCTTCTCTATCTAACACTAACTTATTTAATGATTCCATCTCATGTTCATATGACGAAAACCTCTCGGTAGTTTTCAATCTTAAATTTTTCAAATCAGCTAGTTTAGTTTTTAAACTATTGCATTCAACCTTACTTTTTTGAACTGTAGTAATGTACTGATTGATCTTATCTTTCTGATCACTAATAATACGATTTAATTCATTAATACTTGATTTACTAATTGAATTATTACTTTCAATTCTATTAAGAGCTATCTTAGACTTAGATAGTTGTTCTAATAACTCTTTCTTGTCTCTTAACAACTTTTTATTATCATTCTTTAATTCATCTTTATCATTAGTAATTTTCCTCAGAGATTCTAACAGTGATTCATTTACCATAGACATCTTTATATCATTTCTAAGTATAGCATCTCTAATTCCATCAGGATTATTAGCTTTAAGAGAGGAATTGATTTCATTATAAGTATAATGAAGTGATTCTAAAAGATACTTAAGATCAGTTGTATTATTGTGTGTTTGTAATTCTTTTGTAGGTTGATCATTAGGTAATCTTGTTGATAGGTAATCTTCAATTTCAGCATTCACACTTTGATAATCTCCCATTAAATTTATGGGATTTAGAATATTTAAACAAAAATAATAAAAACAAACAAAATGTAAAAGAAAGAGAATTTAATAATTAAAATATTTGGAGGGAATTTTATAAAAAATTTTATTTTTAGCTCAAATTTTAAGAGATGGTGAAGAGAAAACAAAAATCAAAAAGAATTTCAACAAGACAAAGAATGAAAGTAGAGAAAAAAGTAAGACAACATCATAAACAATTAAGAAAAGAAGAAAGAAAAAAGAAGTTAAAAATGAAATCTTAAATAAATTAATAAACAATAACATTTCTAATTAAATTTTAAATTATTTTTTTAGTTATTTGAAAATTAAAATTATCATTAACAAATAAAATAGAGAAATTATTTTTATAAAACAGGTAGTCATAAATTAATTAATAAAATTAAAATAAATTAATTTTATAATTAAAATATTAATTTTTTAATAGAAATTAATTTTTGAAAAAAAATTTTCTATAATTTTAAAAGCATTTAAAAAAATAATTTTGGGAACCCATAAAAATGATAATTTTAAATAATTTGATAAGATTATTGGTGAGAATAGAGAATGTAGAGTGTGTGTCAGGAACAATTAAGAAAGATGATATTTATGTAGGAATAGACTTAGGAACAACAAATACATGTGTATGTTTCTTTAATAAAGCTACAGAGACAACTGAATTTCTTAACTTTGGAGATAAAGTCTATCAACCAACAGTACCAACAGCAATTTATTTTGATCAGAATGGCCACCACACAATTGGATATAGGGCAAAAGAACTATCTATCAATAAGGATGGTGCATTTATTTATGGTTACAAGAGGGTTAATGGATTATTTTACAACAACATTAGCTTTATTGATAGGTTTATTAAAGATGTAAGTTATAATGTTGTGCCTCATAAGCCAAAAGATGGAGCAAATGATAATCCAATAGTTGCATTCCCAATTCCTAATGGTGAGTATCATACCCCAACAACATTGAACATACTTTTGTTGAGGGATATTTACAATAAACTTAATGAGAAGTACAATGTAATTGCAACTGTGATAACTACACCAGCTTATTTCACTGAACCACAACAAGCAGAGACTAAGTTAGCAGCCGTGACAGCTGGATTTCCAGATGTTAAGATTGATAAAGAACCATCTGCTGCATGTGTAGATTATGCACAGAGTTACATGGGAACAGATGTGAAGGTAGGAGAAAAGAATGTATTGATATTTGATTTAGGAGGAGGAACATTTGATTTGTCGTACTTGGTTATTGATAATTCAAAAGATGAAGAGGCAGGAAAGAACAAAGTTTTCTCGTCAATTGATGTACTCATGTACAGAGGAGATAATTTCTTAGGTGGAGAGAATGTTAACTCATTACTGTTTAATTATATTCAAAAGAATATAATGAAGAAAGATGAATTATCACAAAGAGATAAATTGAATTTAGGAATGTTCGTTGAAAAGTTTAAAATAGAAGCATGTGATATGTGGAGAGAAGATATTAACAGAATAAAAGAGTCAACCTTAGTAAAAACAGATAAATTCTTTGATAGTTTAAATAATGAATATGTAATATCGATGAATGAGAGTAAATTTAATGAGATTACTGAGAGCTTCTTTAATAACATTAAGAAGCATTTTATTGATCCTGTTAATGGAATGTTTAGACCAATGGGAAATGATGTTCTAGAAAAGCCAATTGACAAGAATACTATTGATTTAGTAATATTGGTAGGAGGAGCTACAAGAATGCCTAAGATACCATCACTTATTAGAGAGATATTTGGTGATAAGAAGATTGAGATTTCAGATGTGATAGATGCAGATAAGTCAGTAGCTAGAGGAGCAGCATTAATATGTGCTAATAGATTTGAGGGAAGTGGATTGGACTCAATTGCTATGCAGAATACTACACATTTACATGTTGGTATTGCTGTTGTTGATGGAAGCTTTAAAGCAATTATCCCATCAAGAGAACCAATTCCATGTAAATTCTCAGAAACATTTACCACTGTTGAAGATTATCAATCTAAAGTCAATTTGAGATTAGCAATGGGTGTGAGACCAAGATTTGAAGACAATGAATTTATTGGACAGCTTGAATTAAAGATAGCTAAACCAGTGCCAAAAGGACAGTGTCAGATTAAAGTGGAAATGCAGATGACAAGTGATTTTGGATTGAAGTTGAATGCATCAATTGAAGGAGAGTCTGAGAATGCTATCAGTCATACATTTAAGAATTGTTACAAATCACTTGATGATGAGTTAGTGAAGAAATTACTTAAAGATGCTACTTTGTATGCTGAAGAAGATAAGGAGATTGAAGCTAAATTTAAAGTTAAGAGTGAATTTGAGTCTTATCTTGAGATCTATAAGAAGAGAGTTGAAAGTGTGAAGTTTAATGGTAAAGAAAATGTAGTTCATAGAGCTTATGTGGATACTCATCGTGACTTCTTACTTCAAGATAAGAAAGCAGACTCAGCTTTAACTTCTGACAGGTTGAAAGAAGAATTAGAATCATTAAAGAAAAATTTAGAAGAATTTGAGAAACTCGCTCAAGAAAGTGGTGATAAAGTTAAAACTGATGAGAAGAAAGATTCTGATGACAGAAGAAAAGTTGAACTTTAATAAAATTTACTTTTTAATAAAATTTTATTAATTTTTACATTCTAAGGAGTTTTAATACTTTTTAACTAATTTTTATAAACTGAATAAACTCCTAAAACTAGTGATATAATTGCTACTGCTAGAAAGTTAGTAGAAAAATTTTTTTCATGTTTTTTTACTAGATCGGTCAAATTTTTATAAAAATTAGTGCTTTCTTGATTTAAAGAGGCAAATACTGAATAAATAATCGATAGTAGCAGACATGTAATTATTATGATATCATTATTTATTTTTAATGAATCATGTTTAATTTCAACAGCATTAGCTAGAGCAGTATCATTTTTTTTCCTAGAATTAATTATAGTCTTAATAACATCAATATAAAACATTGGTAAGCAGAAAAAGTTCCAGAATGGATTAATATCAGAATTTGGATATAAAAATAAATCAACTATCACTAATAAGATATTACTGTAACAAACTGGAAATAAGTTAGAACTATCTAAAAACAGTCCATAAAGTGTCAATGAGTATATTAAATATATCAAAATTCCAAAATGATAGTTAATTTTTGTAAAAAATAGCACCGATTCAAGTCCATTTTTCATATTCTCTTCTAAATTATCTAATTGCTGGCTACTTGCTATAATATATGTTATTATTATGAGAATTAATAGAAATATAAAGTTAATTATATGATAGTCTGTTATTGTTAATGTTATTGTGTATGTGTAACGCATTTGTGTTTTTAAATAATTTTTATTTATTATTCTTTATTAAAAAATTTTATTAGAAAATTAATTTGATTAGTAGATTGATTTTAAGGAGGTATCTTTTCATTTCAATCATTTTAATTTTTATTAATAATTTTATTTAGTTTATGAATAACCAGAACAGACTTAATTACCAAAGAGGAGAGTATGAAGAGATTAAAGTTACTAAATATTTCAAAACTAATAACAAAAAATATAGGGTGAGTTATGTATCTAAAAACAGCAATTCTACATTGTCTATTAAAATCACTAACGGTTTTTCTGAGATTTACAATCTTCTTATTAAAATTTTTGAGGTAAAATTATACAAGAAAATTAAAATTTATCTCAAGGAAAATATCGATGACGTTATTATATCAAATTTTATAAATAATTTTACGTTCGATGGATATCATCTTGAATTTTCCAGTACATTAGACACATGTGATAGTAAACACGATGATTTATTATGTGTATTTGTAAAGGATTAAATTTCTCTATTATTTTATTTTTTAATACAATTAGTCAATTTAACTTTATTTAATCACAGTTTGTATTCTATCAAAAATATATTTTGTATGTTTTTGATGTTCTTTTAAAAACTTATTTAGAATTTCTGGTATTTCTGGTGTTGTGTTAAATATCATCATTTGTTTTAAGGTTCCTCTGCAATCTATATCAAAATTTTTATGTTCTATTCTGATTAGCTCATCTCGATATCCTTTCATGTGATATAAATTATCTAGAGAGTAAATTGCCTCTAAATTTGCTTTTCTATACCCATCAATTGTATAAGTAAATGATATCAGCTTATCTAACTCTTTAATTAAATTTTTAATAAGTTCATTAAATTCTGTCTTTGATATTGACACATCATAAAATATACCACTTAAATCATTTCTTAAGTCTTTATTGGTTTCTCTTGTCATTCTCCTAGCTCTTTTTTCAAATAAATATGCTATTCTACTATAACAATCAAAATCTTTTAAGAATTTCACCCTTGATTTATCTTGTACATATTTAAATATTTTTTTTATATTCTTTACTGTTTTTCCTCCATGTTCATAGTGTTTGAATGCATGAAGACAATCTTTTAATCTAATCAAATAATCTCTTATTTTAAGATATTCTTTTTCTACATTTTCATACCCTTCAACAAATTTAATGTCAGAATTTTTTATTTTATCTAAACGGTTAACAAAATCTTTTGTAAAATCCATCTTATTCTCCTTTCAATTAAATTTGTTTATCTATAAATAGGGGATTTACTAATTAAATTTATTTTATAAAAATTTAATAAATATTTTAAAATGTTCCCAAAGAGAATCGAACTCTTGACCTCTTGCGTGTTAAGCAAGTGTGATAACCACTACACTATGCGAACTTAGTTTTTATTAAAATAAAATAATTAAATATAATTTAACATAGGTTTTTAACATTTCAATCAATTATAAATTAATGTTTTTGATATTTTTACAATCTAAGTTTATTTTATATTTACTTTGAAGTTTTAATAGAAGTTTATAAATTTATGTGACAGAAATAATATTTGTCGTAACTCTCAATATGTTGATGTTAAGCTTTATTGGAATTTATGACATTTTAAATATAAATCTTTTGTCTAAAAAAATATTTTTTTTACCTTTTTAAATCCTATGAATGATATGATTAATGAAATAAAAGACACGTTATTAAAGATTTAAGATGAATAAAATTAATTTTTTTGTTACTAATTCCACTATCACCTGTTACGACAAGTTTTGACAGTAAGTCTTGTAGATTACTTAAATCAACATTATTAACTATTCTCCCATTTTTGGTGTCACCTGCACCCGAGATCTTCTCCTCCGACGTCTCATCAACAATTAATCTATAACATAATTTATTAATAATTAAAAATTAGGGTTTAATAAAATATTTTTAAAAATTATAATAAATAAATTAAAACATCATTTTTCAAATAATAAAGAAATGAATTGAACAACGTTTAATTCATGCTTTAACAATATCAATCTTTTTATTTATTAA